TCTACATAGACAGCAAATACTTTACAAATGTCTCCACCTTGTGGATTCAAGCAATATGTGCAGTCAGTTTTATTTGTTTTCCCTGTGTATATGAACACACACTTTAATGTACAGTAGATGTAAGCATTTTATTTAAAAAAAACAATTATAACTGAATTCATGAAGACATATTTTATAATATTACAGCTGTATTTTATTGTAATTCATTACCTGTTTATACAGCAGCCTGCACTTATTGGTGCCACAGCAGGAATTAAAACATTTACACAAAAATATGTCCGCTACTGCCTATCAAAGAATGCTTCTGCCTAAAATACTGAAACACACTTTTGACCTTAATGATTATTCATATTGTTGAAATATGTTTTATAAAATCAACTTATTTTTGTGTTATTTTAAGAATTATCTTTATTGTCAAGGAAGAAACATATCCAAAGCAAATACATTTGACCTAATGTTGATTGTTTTTATATTACAGTATACTGTATACCACCATGTCAAAAACTTCACCTTACATTAATTGCAAACTGTTTTTCTTAGTCAAACTGGGTTTATTCAAAATATATTTTTTAATTTATTTTATGTGGTTAATTCAGGTGTGTTGCCAAGCCTGAAGCGCATTTGAGAGCTAAGAATGAACATAAGCCTGGATGCTTGCCTATTCTTTAGGATGCTTTAAACACTATAAGGCAGCTGGATGCTGTTTTGGCAGTTGAAAACAGCAGATATAGCTTAAACGTAAGTCATGGAGGTTAATTTATAGTTCAGCTGCTGATGACATAAGAAGGACCCAGAGACAGGAGGGTTTATGGTTGGCAGAGAACCAGAGAAGCAACAGGGGGCAGCAGACACTGTGTCTGAAGAGGGAACTGCTGTGGGGCAACGCACTGTACTGTAGTATTATGTGTACAAAATGCACACATACCCTTATAATAGAAAAAAGAGAGGGTGTGATACATTTAAATGTAATGGTAAAGCTTTGTAAGTGTTTGCTCTTTGACTGAGGCTATAGGCTGTGTTGGAAAAATAGAACAGCTTATTGTTAGATTATGTAACAGACATTCAGTAATACGATCACAGATGCCAATTGTTAGACATACATTACTGCATGGACATATGTTTAAATACATAATGTGGCCTCAGTAGTGGTAATAGAGTCAGTTTTTATAGTCTAAAAAAATGTCAAAGGGGTCATATAACAATGTATGCATGGAGACTGATCAGAATGTATTTAATTTTTTTTACAGCAGCACCATTGCATATCCACACCACTCATGTAGGCTGTGATAACTTCCCCACCTGGTTATGTCCGTATTCAGTTGACACCTGTCGTCTACCTTTTTACTGATCACTGTGTGTTCGAGGTGAACCCTGGCCTGATAATTCATCAGTTATCAACTCAAAGTAGTGAAGCAGTTGAATAAACAGCTAAACTTTGACAGGACTAAAGGCTTTAACTAGTCTCAGAGATAAGCTGGACAGAGCCTAATGTTCCAATTACAATCAGTTTAAAAGGTGAAGAATAAAAATCCTTCATCATCCCTTCATTAAAATAAACTGTCCCAAACAAACGGGGTAGTTTCCTTTCATAAACCAATCAAAAGATAAATTGTACCATGTAAATGATTTAACCTGATTACTTTCTGGCTGTGTTCTTTCTTCTGCACATGCCTTACATCTTGACATAAATACTTGGGGACGTACGTTTTTCCATGTCCAAAAAGTGTCCATACATAACAAGACCACTGCGGAGAGTTTGTTTGTGATACAAACTCTTAAATAACTAACAATATTGGCCGCCTTTCACAGCAGCCCTGAATTTTTGTCGCGTTAAAGGCTGGTGTGACCAGGCCTCAAATATTTTACAAAGAACTTTATTATTGCATTATGGGAATTCTACTGCAGGATGCAACGTTTTTGAGCTTTAAATCATACAAGGGACTAAAAGCCAGGATATCTCTGCCTCTTCTGCTTTGATTTTGACCATGCTTTTTAAAACCTGTCCCTCACAAGTCCCCCAGCTTTATGGAAGTCCAAAATAACTGAAATACATCTTTAGGTGTTACACGCAGCTGTGGCTCAGAGGCAGAGCGGGTCGTTCCCCAATCGGAACGTTGTTGGTTCAATCCATGCACAGCATTGGTGTGTGAATGTGTATGAATGAGTTAGTTTCTGTTCACATCGCTGAGTGAATGTGTGTGAAAGGGTGAATGTGGCACGTAGTGCTTTGAGTGGTCGGAAGACTAGAAAAGCGCTATAGAAGTACAGGTCCATTTACCATTTACACGACACGTTAAGAGTTAAGTAAGTAGAAAACCTGATTCCCACTTTCATCCGGCTATCCATTTAATACAGAATCAGTTCAATTCAATTCAATTCAATTTTATTTGTATAATTCATAACAGAAGTTAATCCAGGACACGTTTTCAAATAGAGCAGGTCTGACCGACTCCTTATATCACTCATATAGACATAAAGAATGACTTCATGTGAAAGCAACCAGGTGCAACACAAACTGAGGACAAAGAGGGGGGGGGGGGGGGGGGGAGACGTTACCACACTAGTATTAATACTATATGTGTATACATTTTCCCCAGGGTTATGGCACAGAGCCAGGTGTAGCTGCATGTTACATTCCACAGTACGGCATGTCAGTTGCAGTCACATCACATGTGCAGTGATCCATGGTCACAAACTGTACTTCAAGCCCTGGAATGCCGATTCATTCAGATGCACTGATACATATTTAGTACGCTGAAATAAACATTCTCCAACTAGCACATGGTGTCCTTGTGTTTTGGTTCAGTTAATCCTTCTGAGAGGGCCATACCTATTTACTCGGCAGCAGCACCTGCATGACTCACTTGTTAATGCTGTAGTGAAGGGATGAGGTGGAGGACAAATGCCACATACCTAATCTTACTTTACACACCGTTT